AAGGGATGGAGGGGAATGATGGAGGGATGGAGTGATGAAGGGATGGAGGGATGGAGGGATGGAGGGATGGAGGGATGGACTGCATGTTGGGCGGAGCCAGGTGTTACTGACTCCACTTGTTTACTGGTCTAGCTCCACATCACAACAACTGTTGACTTGAGCTGGTCCAGAACTTTGAACTGGGACCAGWAACCACATCAGCTCAGTTCCAGAACCACCATCACTCCCAGTTTGTCTCTGAATCACTAGGTTCTGTTTGTTCATACTGGTCTTCATGGCCTGAAGGTCTGYCCTGCTCCAGCCTTACCCTCAGGAGGCTGAGGACCCTGCACCCAGCCCCGCCCCCTCCTCACAGCAGGTGAGCCCACACACCTGAGCACCGTGACTCACCTCAGCAGGAGGGGGAGGAGACTTTGCAGCTGCTTTGCCTGCCACCTGCTCTTCCTCTGGAGGCGGAGCAAACTCCTTGTTGTTGTTCTCYTGGTCGATGTCGCTGAGCGAGCTCAGAGAGGGGTTTCTGGAGAAGCAGACGGGCGTGTCCTCCATGGAGAACTTCTGTTTCTCGTCTGAAGCCGTCTGATTGGCTGCAGCTTTGGTTCGAGGGAAGACGGCAGCAGTTTGTTGTTTCTTCTTCCTGCCTTCCTCTTTAGGCTTCCTGTCCTCTCCCTCCTTCTCTCCACACTCCTCTTCATCAAAGTCCAGAGAGCTGAGCGAGTCGTTGCGTGAGAAGCAGCATGGCGTTCCCTCGATGGGCGTGTAGTGGCGAGGAGAGTCGAAGGCAAAGCCTGGTTTAGCTTTAGCAGCTGCAGCACCGTACGGAGGCCGCTGAGGCATCGGCTTCACCGGAGATGTCGGCTTCTTCTTCTGCAGCTGCTGGCAGAGAGAAGGTGGGATTGGAGCAGAGACGGYAGCAGGAAGGGGCGGAGCCTGCAGGTGCTCAGTGTTTGCTGCTGCTCTCATGGGCTTCCTGGGTTTAGCTTTAGGCATGGCGGCGTTGATGCACTCAGCCAGGATGTCGTCACCGTTCTCGCCCTCAGGAAAGCCCGCCCTCCTCCGTGGAGCAGACGTAGGCGAGGCCACAGGAGCCAGGGTCAGAGGAGCCTCCTCGTTGGGAGGAGACTCGATGGTCAGGTCACTCAGTGAGGTGGCCGTGGAGAAGTTCAGGGGCGTCCCTTCCACACAGTAGACTCTGGGCACGTCCTCAGCCGCCGGGGGAGGGACATCCTGTGGCTGGGCTCTTTGTGGTGGGAGRAGCTTGTAAACAGGAAGCTGGCTGGACTTGCGCGGCGCTGGCTGCTGCGCTGCTTTCTTTGGTTTCTGGGAGGGCTTGGGCATGGCCATGGTGATGCACGCCACCAGGATCTCGTTGTCATCGTCGTCCGACTCATCCAGGATGGGTTTGGGGGTCTCCACCTTGGTGTCCTTGCTGCCCCCSTCCTCCTTGGCCTTCACCTTCATCTGGGCTGTGATGTAGGGCTCGTCCAGACTGAGCGCGCTCAGACTGGAGGCGCAGGAGAAGCCGTGTGGCGTGCTCTCTGTGGCGAAGTGCAGCAGGACGTCAGCGCTGCTCTCCTCCTCCTCCTCCTTGGCCTTCTGCTCCTTCTTGGTGGTCTGGGCGGGCGGTGGCAGCGGGGGGGTCTTGGCTCTGCTCGGGGGCATGGTCTGACCCGGGCTGTCGGGCAGGTCGCTGGGGCTGACCACGCCGCTCGGCACGCCGCTGCAGGGCTCACTGGAGCGGACGGAGCTGGCGATGGAGGAGGTGGAGAAGCTGTCCAGAGAGCTGACCGACGTGCAGCGGCTGAACATCAGCGGCGTTTCCTGCGCGTACAGCTGCTCCGGGGGGCTCTTTGGGGTCCGGGTGCCCGACGAGGACGTGGCCTGGTGGTGATGATGATGGTGATGGGCGTGGCCATGGTGGTGGTGATGACCCCGGCGCCCTCGAGTAGAGGGAGGAGCTGCTGTTTGACTCTCCGCCTCCTTCTGCTGGCGCCGCTGCTGCTGCTGCTCATCAGAGTCTTTCTCACTGACAGGAAGTGTCGGGTAGTTGCTGCTGCTGCCGCCGCCGCTCCTCTTGATGACTTCCTCCTCTTCCTCTGACGACAGAGAGGACAGGGAGCTGCCTCTGGAGAAGCAGATGGGCGTGTCCTCCACACAGTACGTCTGCGTGGACTCCTGGTTGCTCTTTGTCACCGTGCGTGAAGGAGCCAGAGGGTGGAGCTTGGAGGAGGAAGTGGGAGGAGCCAGCGAGGGCACAGCTGTTTCTTCTTGCTTGAAGAGCGGTTTGCGGTTGGTGTCAGCGCTGTACTTCAGGCTGTAGTCTATGGGCTGCTCAGGGCCCGGCTCATTACTGTAGCTGGACGGCGCCGTCACAGTGTAGTGAGGGGGTGGAGCCAACGCCATGCGGCTGCCGCTCGGCCCCGATTCACCGCCGTTGTTTGTCCGCAGCCGGACATCTTGGCTGTCGTCACTGTCGATGTCGCTGCGGTGACTGGGGCTCTGCCTGCCGGAGTTCAGCTGCTCGTCTGAATACTTCAGGCTGTAGTTGATGGGCGTGTCCAGCTCWGCGCCGTCATCGTCAGCCATGTGGTTGGCGCTGCGGATCTTGTGAGCCAGGTCGGCGGGGTACTTCCTGTAGACGCAGCACTTGTTGGCGCCGCTCTCGTCAGAGAAGTAGAAGGTGTCGGACGACGGCTTGGTCTTGCCGCGGTTGCCGTAGCCGTCGGTGCTCGTCACGCTGTTCAGGCTGTCGCTGGAGGCGCGCACACTGGGCGGGAACACTGACCGAGGGTACGCCCCTTCCTCACTCACCCTCTTTGAGCCGTCTACACTTTTTGGGCTTGATAAAACCGGCGTGTTGGTGTAGGAGCGTGTTGCATTTCCTCCCCCTGCTCCAGTACCGTTACAGCCCCGCCCCTTCCTGTGGGCTGCTTTGGGGCTCAGGTTGTCGATGTTATCGAAGGTCTCTGACAGCTGCTGAGCGTCCAGCTCCTCAAACAAGGCTTTTTGTTTGCGAGCGTGAAGCGACGGGGCGCCGGCGCCCGGTGACACCACGCTGGCGTCCTTGTAGCGTGCGGGCCTGTTGGCCATCAGGTTCCTCAGAGCRGCGGCGCTGCCCATGGCGATCATCTTGTGTCGAGAGTGGATGAGGTTCCGCAGCATGCCTACAGCACCCAGTTCCCACAGCGTCTCCTGGTCTTTAGCATCGCGTGCCGACAGATTCCAGAGCGTCCCGCAGGCGTTGGACACGATGGTCAAACTGTGGGACTTCAGGTGCTGCAGCAGTGTCGGCAGGCAGCCGTGCTCACGCAGGATCTGCCTGCAAGACAAGATGAGGGGTCAAACAAACATATGATGCTACGTTCACACCCAACCTGTGTGGAGCATCTAAAACACGCCCAGCTGAACACGTTACGTTCAGACGAGACGCGTCTTCAGACCGAGACACGTCTTCAGACCGAGACACGTCTTCAGACCGAGACACGTCTTTAGACTCTTCAGACCGAGACACGTCTTCAGACCGAGACACGTCTTCAGACTCTTCAGACAGAGACGCGTCTTCAGACGGAGACACGTCTTCAGACAGAGACACGTCTTCAGACAGAGACACGTCTTCAGACTGAGACACGTCTTCAGACTCTTCAGACCGAGACACGTCTTCAGACTCTTCAGACCGAGACACGTCTTCAGACTCTTCAGACCAAGACACGTCTTCAGACTCTTCAGACCGAGACACGTCTTCAGACGGAGACACGTCTTCAGACGGAGACACGTCTTCAGACCGAGACTCGTCTTCAGACCGAGACACGTCTTCAGACGGAGACGCGTATTCAGACGGAGACGCGTCTTCAGACGGAGACGCGTCTTCAGACGGAGACGCGTCTTCAGACGGAGACGCGTATTCAGACGGAGACGCGTCTTCAGACGGAGACGCGTATTCAGACGG